ACGCTCAAACCACTATGCCATGCTGGCTCTCCAGTGCTGAACTAAATAGGTGAGGGGGAGACACTCCAATAGTCTGGGACCCTAAAACTGTTTTTAAGTTGCGGGAATAGATTTAACACTGGCAGGTAGATTGATATTAATTTGCCGTTGTTGTTTGCCTTCAGGGCTGCTACCCGGATGCAGAATTAATGCAGTTTGACACCACTCCATCATAGCTCCATCCTATGGAATCCTGGGATTTGTAGAGCTCTCAGACAGAGAAGGCAAAATAGGTCACCAAGCTACAAACCCCAGGATCCCATAGCAATGAGCCAAGGCAGTTAAAGTGGTTTGAAGCAGCATTAATTCTGCAGCGATAGCTATCTGTGGGATAGCAATGAGGGAACTCACATGAGTACGATTCTGGCCAAGCAGCTACTTTTTAGAAGAAAACTGCTTATACCCACCCTGTCCCAATTTGGCAGGGAAAGTTCCCATTAATCCTCTGCTGTCCCACTTTTTCAGCTGCTTTTCAAATGTCCAAGTTTCTCTCTCCTCCTCCCACTCTCGTTCTTCAGTTTACTTCCATTGCTGCAAACTGAGTTCCAAGTGCAAACGTAGGGCCTTTGCAGACTGCCAGAAATAGTGCAAATTGAGTCCACTTTTAGGGTTAGGGTTAGTGCTAGGGAATCATGGGAACTGTTATTTTTCTGAGACATTGAGCCTTCCCTGTCAGAGAGCTCTGGTGCCACAATAAAATACAGTTCCCATGATTCCCTAACTGAGGGAGACTCCAAGCCTAACCCTTAAAGTGGACTCAATTTGCACTATTTCATTCAGCAGAGAGGAGAGCAGAATTTTACCCTTCCCAGATGGCTCAGGCAAAAGCAAACTGCAGCTGCCGCTCCTGGCTTGTCTGTTCTTCCTCACTAATAACTTTTGCCATCTTGACCACACTCTGATATTGCTTGGCCGCATGTGTCCCAGTTGTCATGTGTGAAATGTGGGAAGATAACCATTTTTTTAATCTTGGTACTCTAATGATATATTCACAGGCTGACATAAAGCAGTTTTTCATACTACGTTAACTGTCATCACTCCATCCTCTAGAATCCTGGGATTTGTAGTTTAGTGAGGTATTCAGCCTGGGTTGTAACAGAGCTTTGGTGCCTCGTCAAACTACAAAATCCCAGGATTCTGTAGGAAAGAGTCATGGCAGCTGAAATGGTGTCAAACTGCTTTATTTTTGCATTTTGTATAGACTGTAAGGCTGCATCTGCACTGCAGAAATAACCCAGTTTAACAACACTTTAACTGCCATGTCTCCATGATATGGAATCCTGGGATTTGTAGTTTATTGTGGCATCAGAGCTCACTGGCAGAGAAAGGTAACTATCCCCCCAAACTACAAATCCCAGGGTTCCATAGCACAGAGCCCTGGCAGTTAAAGCAATATCAAACTGGATTATTTCTGCAGTGCATTTGCAGACTTTGTGTAACTAATTATTTTAAATATGGTTTTCTCAAGCTGTCATTAAAAGACAAGGACAAACAGCAAATTTACCAGCAGAAACCACCCTGAACCCTTTGCCCCATGAAAGGCAAACAACGTTTGGCATGCGGTGTATGCTTTGGTGGGCCAAAACCGCCTTCAGTGTTTACAAGGCGGCGCGGAGGGAATGAAGAATTTACTTCAATCTAGCATTTCCCTTATTTGGTGGTGAGTTGGACGATAATTGCTGTATTTATTTTGAGGTTTGCGAGGAGAGATTTGCATTGTCAGTTTGTATTTTTGAAATTCTCCCGAAGTTGAACTTTTGGAGAAACTTTGTGATACCACATTAGACGTGTCAGAAAACATGAACTATTTGTGTCTCACCCAGCATTGAGCAATTGCTATTTGTGGGCCTTCTTGCTTTGATCCCAGATGTACTCAGAAAAGTCTCCTACTTTTGGACTACAAGTCTCAAAATTCCCCAGCCAACTATGCTTTGTAGTCCAAAACTGGGAAACTTTCCCTCTTTCTGCTCCCAGGGAGCTGCTCGAGGTATTTGTTATCTATATTTACACAAAACGCCACTGATTCAAATCTTAAGCGACAAGGCCATAAACAAAATATCACATATTTAATCTTTTTCACCAAGACTGCCCCAACGTTCTTTTGCAAACAGGCTTAAGCCTGGGAAAGTCCCAGATCTTTATCCTCACGACTTGAGAATCAGACGGAGAGGAAGGCTTTTCAAATGGCCCAAAGAAGAAGACAAACTACAAGGAAAACAAAGCCGAGGGGGGAAATTTGTTGAGAGATGAGTAGGAAGTTGTAACACTGACACAGCAATTGCTTGCTTGCCTGATCTCTAGGAAGATAGAAGGCAGATATGTTTGATGCTATTGGCCATTCACGCAGTTGGCCAGCCAGAGTTAGGACTTTATTGCACGAAGCTAAAAAGCAGAATTTTAATGGACTAAAAGTGTTTTTGGGCAGTACATATCACACAACGTCATACCTGTCCTGCTGTTGCCTTGTGTTACATTTGTTACTGGAGCGCACCTTTCCATTGACAGGCGAAACCCATCAATAGGCTCTCAATGTCACTGCTATTTCATCAGTGCCTTTGTGCGATAGGTCCCGTCCGCTGCAGTTCCCCTTCCCAGGAAGTCATATGGTATAAGTGGCCGTGATTCTGCTCCTCTGCTCTTCTCCCCCTTACAATGAATGGAGATGCCAACACTTCTGGCTGCTGTGTGAATGTGCTTTGGAGTGGGGAAGAGGAGCGGCCTCATCCAACTTGGGAAGTGGTTGGCTGCAACAGGTTTTAAAAAAATATTTTTTATTTCTATTTTACATTTAAAGATACACATCTTTCTCATACAAACATACATACATACATCTACAGATCAACATAAATCAATATATGTCAAGCTATCTTCTCAATCTATCATCCCATTCGTTACATCCTACGACTATCCGTACGCCAAGTAATTTATCTCAGTTTGCTATAACAATTATCTCCTGTATCTCTTTCTTTGTGTTTAATCTTCAATTTGATATTTATCTTGTTGACTATTTTTCATAACATTTACCTTTCTCTTTCTTCCTTAGTCTAGTCAAAGACAGTGCGCTATTGTCAACCAAATCCTAAGTATAACCAAGGATTTTCCTAATTTTCTTATTTTCCTTGTCTTGGCTGTTCTGTTTCTGTCCCCATCGTTTGGGTATCACCCCAATTTCTCTTCATATATACAAGCACTTATTAAATGCTGAAGAGATGGTACAAGTGGGGTGAGGCTCAGGGGGAGGAGAAAGGAGAGGTTTCTTAAAATAAAATTTCAAATTTCAAATTTTAATTTTAATTTTTTTTTAAAAAAATCATTTTTAAAACATTTCTTTAAAAACATCACATTTTACCAAATTTTCACTTTAACCACAGAAAACGATGCATATGTAAACACATTTGTTCTGTGATTTACAGGTATAATTTTAATTTTGCTAGTTGTTTATGTCACAGCTATTAGCATTGCATTCAGTGATAGATGGGAATTATTAGTTATGAGTAAATGAATACAAAAAAGCACAACTATGGATTCTGTACTCTGTATGCTGTGATATGATAGGAGGTCAATGGGAGGTGGCACCATGAGTTACTGCACCAGATGACACCAATCCTTGTGATGCCACTAGGCTTTGGGAAGGTGTCGGCGGCCAGGATCACTTGTCCCCTCACTTCCTCCGGGAGTGCAGGGTTGTTGTGTGGTGAACCTGTGACAGTGATGGTGGAATTTTAGTCACCCTCCTCTGGACACGCTCCAGTTTTTCAAGGATGTTGATAAACTGGAGCGTGACCAGAGGAGGGCGACTAAAATGGTGATGGGTCTGGAAACCATGAATCCCTATGAGGAATGACTTAGGGAACTGGGTATGTTTAGCCTGGAGAAGAGACAGTTAAGAGGGGATATGATAGCCCTCTTTAAATATTTGAAGGGATGTCATATTGAGGAGGGAACAAGCTTGTTTTCTGCTGCTCCAGAGAATAGGACCCAGAACAATAAGTGCAAAGGAAAAGAGATTCCACCTCAACATTAGGAAGAACCTTCTGACAGTAAGAGGTGTTGGACAGTGGAAGATGCTTCCTTGGAGAGTAGTGGAGTCTCCTTCTTTGGAGGTCTTTAAACAGAGGCTGGATGGCCATCTGTCTGGGATGCTTTGATTTTGAGTTCCTGCATGGCAGGACTGGACTGGATGGCCCTTGTGGTCTCTTCCAACTCTATGATTCTATGATTCTATGAATCAAAAGTGTGAGCCCAAAGCACTGAGTGGTGGGCTGCTGGCTTGGAGTCTCCCTCGGTGGCTGTTTGTGCCACTACCTCTCTTTGGCCACCCCAAAGGGCCTGAGCCTGCTTGCCACCAACCATGCGCACCCACACCAGTCAATCTGCCACTGCTGCCACTTCCAGACACCTGGAGCCAGTGGCCTCACTAGGGGGGTGCAGAGGGTGCGGACCACACTGGGTGACATCTCGGGGGGGATTGTCCGAAACATATTTGGATAAGGGAGACTTAACATGTATGCTCTCCTTTCTTGTCAATTTGCATCTTAAAGTCCTATGATTTTACATCACCGTTTTGGACAACTTTTCCATGTTAACCATTTCTTTACAGATGGTAAGTCATATTTTTAAAACATAGATTGCAGCCACTTAATGACAGTGTTTCTTATATTCAGTCTGCACAATCTTGCAGCACAAACTGATAAAGACATTCAACAGTTTCATCTTTTTTTCTTAACATGGGCGACATTCACTGTTCTTTATTGCTATGGTTGTTCTTGAGACATGCCAACAATGACGTCTTTAGTATCTCAGATTTGAGGTTGGTACTGTCAGAGTTGGCATCTAGATTTTTGGAGAAGGGCAGAGCTCATTTTACAAGCTTCCTTGAACACTCTAACAGCTTTAGTGTGCTCTGTCGGCTGAATTATGGCTGCTCTTAATTTCATACCTTCAAATTTTTTACACTACGAGCCAGCGTGGAGTAGTGGTTTGAGCATAGGACTATGACTCTGAAGACCAAGGTTCAACTCCCTGCTTGGCTGTGAAAACCCACTGGGTGACTTTGCACAAGTCACTCTCTCTCAGCCTCAGAGGAAGGCAAAGACAAACTTCCTCTGAACAAATCAGACAGTGATAGTACAATAACATCCAAAATCCACAAAACAGTGATACCTTTAACTGACCAACCAAAATGCACAAAATGCACGCTTTTGAAGCTCCACTGGCTTCTTCATCAGAGAAGGGTGTTAAGGATCTTACAGGGGAAAAGCATATTATAAAATGATGATGATAGTCACAGGTTTGCATTCTCTCAGGTGGTTTTCACTGGTGTTCCTTGGAGGTATATCTATGCAAGCCTCCTCCTGGCCATGTAGCACTGGGAACAAAGGCTTCCAAAATCCATGACCCTGTGATAGATTTGTCTTAGGACATTATCACACGGGGCCCAATCCAAACAGAATCCAAACGAAAT